ACCGTGCACGCCACCGGACACGCGCTCGCTTCATGCTCGGGCAGGAGAAATTAAAGATGCTGGTAAAATAAAGACACCCACCACCACCCCCACCCCCCTGCGGTGACCAGACTCCCAGCACCAAAGCCCACCTGTCTGGGGGGGAAATTAAGGCAGGGTCCGGGAGGATGATTTTTGGGAGGGTCAGACGTCGGCTCCTGACCCTGCCGCGAGGAAAAAGGGTTTTTTCCCCAATCCTGAGGGGGTGCGCTGGGGTTTGCAGAGCCTGCAGGTCTGCTGGCATCTTTTGCTCCAGAAACCCCATTTTTCCCTGTTATTTCCAAGCCATCCAGGTCCTCCCTCTTGGGCTGAGCTTTTGGCTTTTAACCTGTTGCTTTTAACTCTGGCTGAAGCCCTGGGATGGCTTCTCTCCGGGGAAAACAAAATGCCATTTCTGAGCAGCGCAGATTTTTGGGGAGCGCTGTGGGGTACCTGCAGCATTTCAGCCCCGCAGTGGAGTCTGAGGCTGTTCAGAATGCAGCTTCTTTGGCTCAAACCCTAATTTCCACTTTTTTTTTTTTTTTTTTTTTTTTACTTTCTGGGGCTTCTTGTGGGTGCAGCAGGGAGATCCCTGGGCTCAGGGACCCACAAGCATGCTCTGGCTGCTTTGGGATTAAAAAACAGGGAGGAGAAAGGGGTAAAATAACAGTGCATGCCCCCCCATTTTAGTCCAGTTGGGGAGGAAAACCCGAGCACGGTGTTGCAGGGAGCGAGAAGCCATTTCCCAGCAGCTTCCCAGCTTTTCTATGTTTGAGGGAAGTAAATACAACCTTAAAATAGCTGCTTTGCAGGCAGGCAGCACCGGCCCCGCTCCTCTCGCGGCAGCCTCCTAAGTTTTTGCAGCCAAAATAATAAAAAATGCATGAGTTTGTGCGGTTTTCGGCTTTTCTGCTGCAGCTTGAGGTGTGTAGTTTGCTCCTGGCGTGAGGATGGTTTTGGGGACGTGGCCAGCCTCTCTCTCTCTCTGCTTATTTCTGTTCTCCCCCTCATTGACAGAGGCAAAGACTCATTATTTAATTCCTCGCCATTCATATCAACAGGGCAGGTTTAAACCCTCCCCGAAAGCCCATTTATTTATAGATCCCACATTATTTAGGAGGGGGGTCTCCCCACTCTGGTCTGCTCCCGCAGTGCCTCCCAACCAGCTGCCCTGGCGCTGGTTTTCCTTTTCTCTCCCAGGTTTTGGGGGATTGTGCTGCGTAAGGGGGTGGTGGGCAGGGGAGCATCTGCGGCTCATTTTAGATGGGAAAACAACCAGTATTTACACTTTGAAAGCTGAAAAAAAGGGCTCTGAGGCTAATTCAGGGCTGCCAATCGCTCCTCTAGCTGCCTGTTGCTTTGACTGACTGTCCCTTGCAAGTAGCTAACTGTTGTCATTAGGTTCCAGGGTGAACAAATGCCTGCAGAGTGCGAGGAAGGTGGGTCGCCCAGGACAATACTGATCTCAATGTCCCAGCTTTGATTTCTTGGTGTGCCTGTGGTCCTCTCGCTGCCCCGTGCTCTGTTCTCAGCTCCTGGCCTTTATACCACATCAGAGGCTGCTGCCAGTTCAGGTGCTCCATCCCAGCCTGTCGTGGCTTCTCAGCAGCGACCCAGCGCCAAGATTTGCTGGCAGAACCGTTGGCTAAGGTCAAAATCCTCCCAAAATCCAGCAAACTGGACAAAAATCCCCATGGTAAATCAACGTGGGCATCCTTGCAGCCAGAAAATGGGGCATTAAGCTCCTCCAGCAAGGGGAAAAAAAGAGAGATCTTTAATTAAAGAGCAATTTGCTGATTAGCCCGGTATCCTGGGAGCCCTTTACCCCATGTGGGCTGATTCCCATGGAAGCACCAGGCAAACCGAATTTGGGCTTGAGCAGCATTAGGGCATCCTGAAACTTTTATTGCTTCTGTCTTCATCCAGTTTTCCCTGCTGCCTGGCAGCCGGCAGTTAAAAGACCTGGGAAAATGTGAGATATATATATGTGTATATATTATTTTTTTCTGTTTTCAATCAAATTAATTTATTTCTTTTGCTCTCACTGATCAGGAGTTGTTGTTCTTCCCCCCAGGAGTGATTTAATGACATTTTCCTGTGGAGCCATGTAACCAGTTTTCAACTAGGAAGGAAGAAAAACACTGAGGCGGTGGCGGAAAAATGCTCTGCCGGGACAGAGAAAGGAGGAGGTAAAAAAACAAGAAAGGAGAAATTGGAAAAAGGAGACAGCAGGTGGGGAGGGGACGTGGGACCCCCCAAGCCTGATGCTTTTGGTGGTCAGGACTGCCCCCAGGGATGCTTCCCAGGGTTTGGCAGCATGCCGGGGCGTTATCCCGGCACGGCCGGCCAGCCTATTTTCCAAGCGAGGAAATATTTAACCGTGGCGTCAGCAGGCAGGGCAGGCGGGCGCAGGCATGGAGGGTGACGGGCAGCACCCGGCCCCCGCTGCCCTCCAGGGCGAGCACCTGCAGCTCCTGCTACGTCGCAGCAGGGAGGCCAAAAACTGCGCCTATTGCCCCTCCAGCCGCTTCCCGGTGGGCGCCGCGCTGCTCACCGCCAGCGGGGAGATCTTCTCCGGTAAGCCGCAAATTCCCACCCCGCCCGGAGGGAAACCGGAGGGGTTTGGGGTGGCTGAGCGGGTGCCGGGGGGCTTCCCCGCAGGATGCAACGTGGAGAACGCCTGCTACACCCTGGGGGTGTGCGCCGAGCGCACTGCTATCCAGAAAGCCATCTCCGAGGGGCACACCAGCTTCAGGGCCATGGCCATCACCAGGTAAGGGCGCGCCGAGAGCCGGCACGGTGAGGGACGAGATGGGGGCGGGGGGCAGTGGGAAACCCCCCCGCTGAGCCCTAGGGGCAGCTTCTGCTGCAGCAGCGGGAGCGTTTTTTTTGGGGGGGGAAGGCAGGTTTTTGCATGTTTTTTTGGAGGAATTGGGGGGGAAAGTCTGCTGTGGCTCCCCTTTTTTTGG